ATATGTCGCTGCAGATAGGAGGGCGGGCAGGGCGGGGAGGAAGGGTAGGGAGGGGAAGGAGGGTAGGGAGGAGAGGGAGGGCAGGGAGGGCAGGGCAGGTAGGCTATATGGAGAGGAAGTGGGAGGAGAGGAGGGGGGAGGACGGAGAAGAGTACGTATGGAGGATGTTGAAATGCGAGTGAGTTAGAGGGGTATTGCGATTTGGAAGCAGAGTGGAGAGAGGCATCAGAGTGACGTGGGATGGGATGTGGCGTGTCATACAGGTCGGCAAGGGCGAGCTGTGCGAGTGAAGCAGGGAAGGCGCCCGACAAGTTGCACGACCCGATGTTGCTGTGGGGGAGCAGAGCAGGGCAGGGCAGGGCAGGGCAGGGCAGGGCAGGGCAGGGCAGGGCAGGGCAGGGCAGGGCAGGGCAGGGCAGGGCAGGGCAGGGCAGGGCAGGGCAGGGCAGGGCAGGGCAGGGCAGGGCAGGGCAGGGCAGGGCAGGGCAGGGCAGGGCAGGGCAGGGCAGGGCAGGGCAGGGCAGGGCAGGGCAGGGCAGGGCAGGGCAGGGCAGGGCAGGGCAGGGCAGGGCAGGGCAGGGCAGGGCAGGGCAGGGCAGGGCAGGGCAGGGCAGGGCAGGGCAGGGCAGGGCAGGGCAGGGCAGGGCAGGGCAGGGCAGGGCAGGGCAGGGCAGGGCAGGGCAGGGCAGGGCAGGGCAGGGCAGGGCAGGTCAGGGCAGGGCAGGGCAGGGCAGGGCAGGGCAGGGCAGGGCAGGGCAGGGCAGGGCAGGGCAGAGCAGGGCAGGGCAGGGCAGGGCAGGGCAGGGCAGGGCAGGGCAGGGCAGAGCAGGGCAGGGCAGGGCAGGGCAGGGCAGGGCAGGGCAGGGCAGGGCAGGGTAGGGCAGGGCAGGGCAGGGCAGGATAGGACAGGATAGGGGTCAACACAGGAGGGCAGGCAGGTGGGAGGGCGACGAAGAACAAGGGAATGGGGGAAAGGAATGGTGGGGGGGTGGGGGGGGGGAACGAAGAGGGGATTGACAGGTATAAGCGGGGAGAGCGGAAGCGAGGAGGGCGAGGGAAGGACACTTGCTCAAGCTCTTTGTTCTCCCAGCACCAAATTTAAGCCGCGGGAGCAATTCAAACAACACAGCCGAGCTGCCCCACTCACAGAGGCGAAGCAGTGAAGTGCAAAGAGTCAAGGCACGAATGATGTTGTCATCTCAGGCATGACGCAACGCAGGGTGGCGCTCACAGGGTGGTGATGCGGGTCAGGAGCGAAAACACGTCCATGCCGCTAGAGAGAGCGTTGTGGCTGAAATCGCTGTGGGGGCCAAGGGGGCATGGTGGCATGGCATGGGCATGGCGGGTATGGATGAGCAGACTTACACATTTGCGATGGAGGTGGGAAAATGGAGGTGGGAAAATGGAGGTGGGAAAATGGAGGTGGGAGAATGGAGGCGGGAAAATGGAGGCGGGAAAATGGAGGCGGGAAAATGGAGGCGGGAAAATGGAGGCGGGAAAATGGAGGCGGAAGATGGGGAGAAGCCACAGGTGGAATGCAGCGTGACTTACACATTGGCGAGTGCAGCAAGGCCTGTGAAGGATGCTGGGATGGGCCCTGTCAGCCCATTGTAGCTCAGATCTCTGCCGCGAGAGATGGCGTGAAGGGGGGAGATGAAAAGATTAGCCAGTATATGAGTGCGTGGGAGAGAAGAAGTGCGCGTAGAAGTGACTTGGATTGGGAGCGGGAGAAGAAAGGGGAAGGGTGCATGCGACCCACACTTGATATTGCAAGGTCTGTATGCGAGTGGACTCTCACTCTGGCAACGAGGACTCTCACTCTGGCGGCCTGCTGTGGCTGAGCTGAGGCCTCAAGATAAGCACAGCCATGAGTTGAGGGCGGGAGGTGGAGGTGGAGGTGGCGGAGGAGGTTCCATTTTACAGGTGAGTGGACGGAAGCGGACTTACATGGTGGCAAGGGCAGGGAGGCCTGTGAATGCTGCTGGCATGGGCCATGTGAGGTGGTTGTGGCTCAGGTCCCTGCCGGGAGATATGGAGGAGAGTGGGAATTGGGGACAGGAAGCGAAGAAAAGCCAAGATGTGAGTGGAGGGAGGGAGTGAGGGAGGAAGGGAAACGCAGGGAACTGTCTGCTGTGAAGGCATAAACCACCATAATGTTGTCGAGGTGACTTTTGAGTCGACTCATAAGTCACCTTTTGAGTCGACTCATAAGTCACCTTTTGAGTCGACTCATAAGTCACCTTTTGAGTCGACTCATAAGTCACGTTTTGAGTCGACTCAGAAGGCACAAACCACCATAATGTTGCCGCCTCACATGCCACAGCCGTCTGCTCACATCTCCATGAGCTTCGGTGCAACGAAAGAAGAAGGAATGGGGCCCTCCAGGGAGTTGTTGCTCAGCGACCTGACCAGGGCAATGGGGGCATGGGGGGCAATGGGGGGCAACGCATGGTCTAGTTTTGAGGCGCCTCAAAACTAGACTCAGCGAGCTGACCATGGTAATGGGGGCAATGGGGGGACAGAGGGGAAATGGGGGGCAACGCACGGGGGCACAGCAGTTGGATTGCTGTAAAGACTCATGCATGTGAGATGGAGATTCATGCATGTGTGCAAGCACTGCAAAGGCACGCAGGGAACAGACGGTGTCTAGCTTGATAAACAACTGTGGGACAGACCGTAGGCAAGCAGATGGCAGCAGAGAGAGACAGCACGGAGCACAACCACCAGCAGACTCAGGGTTGCAGGTTAAGTTCAAGCCAGACAGGGTGCCAACAACCACTGAACCCTAACACCTATGGACCATAATCACCACGCCCCGCCTCCTTGCCCCATTCCAGTTACTTCCTCCCTCTCCTTCTCCCCGTCATCTCCTCTTGGCTCACTCACAGGAAAAGCAGAGACGATGGGAGCACAGGAACGGAGCCAGCCAGGGCGTTATGGGAGAGATCTCTGCAGGCAGACGGACGGGCAGGCAGGCAGGCAAACACAGAGAGAAAAATTGATGCTGCACGGTTCAGGTTACAGCATGAAGGGCACAGCAGCAATGCTGCGAAGAACATGGGGTGGTGCTGCATTGCTGTCGCATAGTGAGGGTAAGGGCCATACGGCACGAGTCTGTTAGAGAGCAAGCCAAGTTCTGGCAGGAGGCAAGAGAAGGGCAGGTGCAGATCCCTTGGTTGAGGAGTGAGCGGAGGCGCACAGCTCTGAGAGGGCGGTGAGGGCGGAGATGGCGGCGGGGAGGGAGCCAGAGATGCCGTTTCCCACTGCCCTCCTGAAAACCATGTATGAACAGAGTTGAGCAGGGTGTGCAGCAGAGCAGGGCAGAGAGCCAGGACCATGCATGAGTGGGGTGGGGGAGCTGGAATGCGGAATGCTATGACACAAACATGCACAACACAGAGGGTGAAAGCACAACATGCAAGCAGGTTCGGTTACACGAGCTGGATCGGTGCGCTATCCTTGTCTTGTGTGAGATGGTTCCATCTACCGCCCACGCAGGTGGTGGTGGGTACGAAGCATGCTGCTGTGCGTGCCCCTGTTGCAGAGTGACATGCGCGCAGCAGGTGGGCAGGCAGGCAGGCAGGCATGCAGGCAGGCAGGCAGGCGTGCAGGCAGGCAGGCAGGCGTGCAGGCAGCAGCTCACAGGGTTTTTAGGTTGGTGAGAGCTGTCCAGTCGGCTGGAAACGGCGAGGAGCGGGCGGGGGTGAGGCCGATGGGTGCTGTCACATCCCTGCAGAGAGGAGGGAGAGTAAGGTGGGTGGTGTTGAGAGAGCAAGGTGGGTGGGTGGTGCAGTGCAATAGTGCAAAGAGGGGCCGACAACGAGATAGTAATGTACGAGCATTGCTAAAATAACACGAGAGAGTCACAAAAGACAAGAAGAAATGGGGTGGAGAAAGCAGGGTTGGTTGGTGGTAAGGTACTTACAGGAACTGCAGCTTGGGGAGTTGTCCGATCCATGATGGAACACTGGTGAACTTGAGGAAGCTCAGGTCACTGCTTGACGGGGGGTGGCAGGAAGGGGCGTGGTAACGTTGCTTGCACGCACAAGCACTACGGGCAACTTGCCGTAATTACTGGGTTCGAAACACATCACCAGAGATCAAGGACGACAGAAGTGAGCCATATACGACCAAACGTTGTACCGTCATTGTCTGGTAACCCTTACAGCCCCACCCAAATGGGTGACAAGAACTCATGGGTGAACTTATGAGGCACTGCAACAGTCCTACTTCATGCGATACAGCAAGCACAGAGAGGGCGAGAAGCCGGGGGAAGCAGCGGGTCTCAACAAAGCCGCACTGCGCACTGTAAATCTACACCTCGTGGGGGAGTTGTGTCTCTTTCTAGTATGTATTATGTACGCCTTACTGGCCGTTACTTACAGGTGGGCGAGTCTGGTGAGGTTGGAAAGAGAGGCAGGGAGCTCTGCTGCAGTGAGGTTGGTGCCTGCTAGGGAGCTGGTGGAGGGGAAAGAGGAGGAGAAACGAGAGAGACCAGTGAGCGGAGGAAAACAGGGGAGAGGAGAGGAGAGGGGATAAAAGGAGGAGAGAAGAAATGAAAAGGAGAGGAGAGGGGATAAAGGGAGAAGAGAGGAAATGAAAAAGAGAGAGGGGATAAAAGGAGGAGAGAGGGGATAAAGGGAGGAGAGAGGAAATGAAATGGAGAAAAGAGGAGAATAAAAGAGAAGGGAGGGGAGGAAACCCAGAGGACAGGGAAATCGTAGTGAAAGAGAGCGCTGAGTAGCACAGTGGAGTGAACAGCGATGCGAAAGAGCACACACTAGCGGAACGCAACGTCAACGGCAAGGCGCAAGCGAAAAGAGAGTGCAGACAGGCGGGAGGGTCACGCCAATGCACATCGCCCTCAACCAGGGTACTTCGTCAATGTGAAAAGTCTCTTGACGTGCATTTCCTCCCATTCCATGCGCACACCATCCCTCCTCACACCTGGACGCTCTAGCGGGCGAGTGGGCAGAGCAGGAGGGAAGGCCGTGACTCACAGGTATGAGAGGGCGGTGGCATTGCCGAGGGCAGCAGGGATCTCCCCAGTCAGCTGAGTGGCGTGCAGATCGCTGCCGTGTGTGGGGAGGACAGTTCGGGTGGGGGTTGAATGCGCTTGTGTGAGACTAAGCATACGTGGGACAAAACAAAAGCACCTGAATGTCAGCATCATTTGCGGGATGATCGAACACAAGGAGTAGACACAGAGTAGTGAAGTGGAGAGGACCAGGGGCGTACAGGTATTGCAGGGAGGGTAGATAACCAAGAAACTCCATGCTGCCATTCAAAGGGTTGAAGGACAGATTGCTGCAGGGGGTGGGGTGACCGTGAGAGGGTTGAACGGAGATGAGGAAGTGAGCGGATGTGGGAGAGAGAGGAAGGGAGAAGGGGAGCAAGAGGCGGAATATTGATGGGGTGACTGGTCATGGGATTGCGGGAAATGACAATGCAGGGAAAAGGAAAGAAAAGAAAAAGAAGAAGAAGAAAAAAAGACTACAGTTACATAACCAGAAGAGGAGCAAGAGGGAAATGTGAGAGTCTGATAAGGCATGGCTCGGGATGGCACGGAACGGCACAGCTCACAGTTCCTGGAGAGAGGTGAGGTTGCGGAATGCGTCCATTGGTATGGGGCCTGAAAGGTCCTGGCCGCGCAGGTTCCTGGTGCCAACCAGGTGGGTTGCAGGGACGAGCACGAGTGAAGAAGAGGAGACGAATGACTGAGGGGGGAGCAGTAAGGGGGCAGTTGGTCGAATTAGTGTGAGCCAGGGAAAAGCAAAGAAAAGGAAAATGAATGCATGTCTTTAACATCAGAAAGGTTGGGTGGAGGGTGGGGGGAACGGGAAAGGGGAGAGTAACGCGAGAACGGCGAGCGGAAGGAGGGACTGACAGGACTTGGAGGGCGGTGAAGGCAGCGATGTCAGCCGGCACGCGTCCAGGCGGGGTGGTGGTGGCCGCAGAGATGAGATGATCCTGTAGCTCTCTGGCGCACAGAGAATCAAAGATGGGGTGGAAGAAGAGCGGCGCAGCCCAGCGACGTGGAGCATGCCAGCATGGGGTGATGATGGGGAGCACGGGGATTGAGTTATTGGTGGGAGTTATTGGTGCAGAAGATGGGATGCACACACACATACATACACGCACACACGCACGCAAGCGCACGCACGCATGAACATACGAACGCACGCACGCACGCACACACACACACACACACGCGCGCGCGGACACACACATGCACACACAGGGGAGCAATAAAACTGGACAGACACGCGGCATGCTACATGGCGTCGCGTTGCCAGTCACAGAGTGTTCACTGACCACTAAGAACTCAAGGCAAGTAAAGCAGCAGGCGGGAGAAGCCATGAAAAGCACGACAGTGCCACGACGCCGATCGGATCAGCACCTCAAACGTGCGTGCACTGCACACACCAGGATCACGCCAGCAGCTCCTGTTACTGGTCCCAGCAGCAGCATACAGCCCTGAACCCAGCATGTGTCTCACTCACATGTTGGTGACCATGCCTCTGCCGTCGCACGTGACGCCCGTCCACTCGGAGCACAGCTCGGCCGTCGCTTCCCACCCCGTCAGCGCCACCAGCGCCGCCACTGCCAGTTCCGCCGCGGAAGGGAGAGGGAGGGGGAGGGGGAGGGGGAGGGGAAAGGGGAGGGTGAGGGGGGAGGGGGGGGGGGAAGGGGGAGGGGGAGGGGGAGGGGAGAGGCCAGAGAGAGGGGGAGGGAGAGAGGGAGGGAGGAAAAGAAGTCATTGGAGTTGCGATCACGACGGATCGGCGAGCAATGCCGCCGCCAGGCCGGTTGTAACAATCGTGGCCGACGCTTATATCGCGTACAAAGGCGACTCACATTGCGAGGGTGCGAGCTTCACATCGCCCGGTCGCGGGCTCGCCGCGGCTGGCTGCGCCACTCCGTCGCTCAGGCGACGGGCGACGGACGGACGACGAAATTCTGCGACGAATGCGGCATCTGGCGAGACACGCGACAGGCGCTTGGTCACCACACTGCTGCTATGATCGCCATCCAGGAGCGTGGCGGAGGCGGTGCTGGTGGTCGCGGCGGGGGAGAGGAGCGCGGCGATTAGAAGCACGCAGGCGAGGAACGCCATGATTACGTGGCGAGAGATGATGCGCGGCGCGTCGATCTTGGTGTGGTTGCCGGGTGGAAACACACGACTGAAACGAGCGCGATTCGTGCGAAGCTAGCTGCGTCTGAGAGAAAGCTGTGCTAAGAAATGACTCGTTTAAATGACTTGAGCCTGGTCTGGGACACTGAGACCGGCCAGCGAGTCCGACGGTCCTGGAGTTCGCGACTCCGTCCCTCCCGAAGCGGACTGAGTCCGCCCGTCCTGGATTTCGGGACACATTCCTGGCCTGGAGCCCACTGGCGAGTCGGCAACCGGGCAACCCTCAGGTGCCATACTTGTCCCATACGGGGAATGCATATGACAGCTATTGATTCCGCGCATTTCCGCGAGACAACACCGACGAGGAACCATCGTTCTGGCTTCCAGATGGTCTCACAAGTGTGGTCTGCGATTTTGTTCTCTCGGCCAGTTTTACTTCCGCTGTCCACTCCCACCTAAGCTCTGACGTATCCAGGCTACACTGTTCATGCGCTTTGCAGATAGTCCGAGACCTAAAGCTCTTATGAGGTAAGTGTCTAGGCACTTATCTGCCTCTGCCTCAAGATTATTGGCCCTCTTCTGTTGGCGCATAAGGGGTGCTCAGCCCTAACGCTGAACATTCTCGGAATGCGCAAAACAAGGCTTAAAGCCCATGTCGAGCCTCCCAAATCGTTAGTCTCCCGAACCTCTGGTGCGGGAGTTGTGCGCGCATTACTCATGCGTGTGCAAGAACGCTGAACTCTCTGTGCGCTGAGAAAATTCCACGAGCTTGGTTTCACAGGCAAATTTCCCGCATGGCCTGTGCGAGCCCTATGCGCTCGTCGAGGGGGGATTGAAGAGGCGCACAACAAATAACGGGCAGATATAAACGCCCGTTTTGGGGTATTGTTTCGGTGGAATACTCACCCCGAAAACAATCCAACGGCTAACCAGTAAGACTGCCACATCCAGTGCTTCGGTTCGCGAAATTTTGACTTTGAAAGAGTGCCAGGGCAGTGTGTAACAACATTTTTTCGGGCACACGGGAGAAAAAAGTTTGTAATTTTGTCGATTAGCAAACCCTTCGACGAGGCTGCAGGCCCTCTCTTCCATTCGAGGAAAACGATGTCCGCAGTACCTGTGCGGCAGCTGCGAATGGCCTGTGCGCGAACAGAACAGGGCCATTGGGGAAAAAAAAAAAAAAAACCTTCCACGTTTTGGCTTGCGAACTCTTGGAATTAAACACCCTCACTTGAAATTCGAGGTTGCTGGATGCTTGGACAGTCCAATTGGCCGAACTGGCTTGACACATTTGGGTTTGGTGGGAGGAATATGGTTCAATTCCTGTGTATTTCTGACAAGTCTGAACAGCAAACACAGTCGAAATCTTGCAAAAGCCCACAAGTAGCAGGGGTACCGAGATTCGTAAATGGGGTTGCGACCATCACCCTCAGGCACCCCCAGTTACACACATGTGGGCGTACAATATCCAGTCGTGCAGGGTGGCAAGGCAATACCATGGGCTCACTTGGTCGGGAAAATATGCCATAAGTAACCAACTTGGGACTCGATAACGTGAATGGCAAAAAAAACGCGTACGGTCACTGTATCGGTAAGTGGGGTCTGGTTTGGTAAGTGGGGTCACGGATTCAGTCACTAACAACAGGTAAAAAATCACGCGAATGGTCACACATGTAACTCCCGCCAAAAAAACTTGAAACTCAACAAAATCCCCGCTCGCGCCCAACCAATCTGCTAACTTCTAAAAATCTAAAACCCAATCGGAAAAGGATGCGGTTTGGGAACGGATCAACCCTAAACACCTGGCGAGTTACGTGTTTAGGGTTGATTCATCCGAAAATGCATCCAGGTTCCTTTTGGGTTTCATTTTGTTATAGCGGGGGTTTCATCTATGACCATTAGCGTTTTTTTTTACCAGTTGATAGTGACTGATTACGTGAAACGTTTTATCAGTCGCGTGAAAACACCATCTGCAGTGACCGTACCATTTATTTTTTTACCAAACATGTTTCGAGTCCCATGTTGGTTACGAATGGCATATTTTCCCCACTTGGTCTACTTACACCACACCACACGCGTTACAAGCCCGCGTCAAATGTATATTTGATCCTTGTACAACGACACCTGAATCTAGGGTAAGTATATTCTGGCAAGACTTTGCTGATTGGTGCTAGAGATTGATTTCTTCAGCTTGTGTGGTTCAAATTCATTTTAATTCACATACGCGTAGATTTAGTGCCTTGTTTCATGGCCACAGCAAGAAAAACTCAGACATGTGCGCATCGAATGTGGGAGCCAAAGATTAGGTTAGAGGCTGACACAATTAAACTCCTAGTGAGGAAGACGCCACGTAGGAGGCTTCAACATGACACTAGCGAAACCATAAACGCAATGGGTCAATGGGTCTTCCTCTTGTCCCATCGTCCCCATTAATGGCTGTTGTGGAACATTAAGGCTTCCCCTTGTCACAATGTTCCCAACAACGGTAGCTGTGGAATATGTGCACTCATTTGATAGAGGTACATTCCCTTTCTGATTCGGTCAACTTGGTGGCCGTTTGAATACCGCACCACATCATCTTCATTGGCTAGATGGTTGCTCTTGATATAGCAGTACACTGTCTTTGTCTCTTGCCCTCGTCTGTGCTGGAAACGTTTTGTTACAACACCTGAGCGCTTTACTGACCAGCCCCGAAGCTAAGGAGAGACAATGAAGCTGCTTCTCACATCGCAAATGCCAGAAACGAGAGAGCAGCAGCAGCTAAGAGGCTGAAAGCAGCAGCTGTGGGCATAGAAAGGCGAGAAGCAGGCTTGGGAGGAGGAGGAGCAGGAGGAGTCTGGGTGGAAGCAGATGGTGGCTGAGGCACTGGCGATGCCGGTGCTGCAGTTGATGCCGCTGCTGCAGTTGATTACGGTGATGCAGTTGATGCCGGCGCTGCAGTTGATGCCGGCGCTGCAGTTGATGCCGGTGCTGCAGTTGATGCCGGTGCTGCAGTTGATGCCGGTGCTGCAGTTGATTCCGCTGCTGCGGTCGATGCCGGTGCTGCTATGGGTGCTGCCCCTGGAGCATGGGACAGAATTGCATGCAGTGACAGTTACATACCACTCAACTACCAGCATACAAAAGCTGCATGCACATACGTCATACTTATACTCCCATGCGCAACACATCTTCTAAAATAACCGAAACATTTAGAGAGCTGTTATGGACAGTAATGTGCAAACATATGCACAGCATACACCTAGGTATGCACGGGAGCAAGCATCCACACACAGCAAGACACGGGCACATACACTTGAGGGTATGCCATGGGTATGCCATGCCATGCCATTGCACATGAGTACTTTAGCTAGCAGCATCGATGCTTCACAGTGCCTGCAAGCAAGCCATCACCCCACACTGTTGCACAAGGTGACAGATAGCACATGCATGTATTGCTCTTCCAGATCCAAGCCCCCTGCCCCATCCCCCCCCCCACTCGGTTGCTTCATTACAGGACTTCCAGGAAGATGAGGAGGGTCATGGACTCAGGCAGAGGGCCGCTAAACTGGTTGTTGCTGATGTCGCTGGTGAGGGGAACGAGGGTGGGAGGGGAGGGGAGAGTGGGGGCGGGGATGCGTATGCTTGGGTGGGCGGTGATTGCGTTGGAGAAAAATAATGTTTAAACAGACAAACACCATGTTAGGGTGGGTGCCACAACCGGGAGAGTGGGGGCCGGGATGCGTATGCTTGGGTACACACATGCACACGCATGCACACATGCACACGCATGCACAAACATGTACGCACACATGCAGACATGCACATGCATGTGCACACGCACGCGCGCGCGCGCACACACACACAGCGCCTGTTAGACCCAGCAGCAGCATATAGGCCTGAACCCAGCGTGTGTCTCACATGTTGGTGACCATGCCTCTGTTGTCGCACGTGACGACCGTCCACTCGGAGCACAGCACCGCCGCTTCCCACCCCGTCCGCGCCACCAGCGCCACCACTGCCACCACAGATGGGAGATGGGGGAGGGAGAAGGGGAAAGGGAGGGGGAGGGGGGGGGGGGGGGGGGGGGGGAGGGGAGGCCAAAGAGAGGAGAGAGTGAGAGAAAGAGAAAGAGGAACCTTTGAAGTTGCAATTGGCTCATGACCGGGTGGTTTAGGGCAATGCAGGACGCCAGGCCGGGAGTAGACATGATTGTGGCAGACGTCTATATCGCGTTCTAGTAAGGCGACTCACATTGCGAAAGCGCGAGCTTCACATCTCCCGGCTGCGGCAGGCTCGCCGCGGCTGGCCGCGCCGCTCCGGAGCTCAGGCGACGGGCGACGAGCGACGGACGGACGACGAATTTCTGCAACGAAAGAAGTATCTGGTGAGACACGCGACAGGCACTTGGTCACCACACTGCTGCTATAATCGGCCGTCGCGGTGGCGGCGGTGACGGTGGTGGCGGCGGGAGAGAGAGAAGCGCGGCCAGCAGAAGCACGCAGGCGGGGAAGGCCATGACTCTGACTAGACGAGGGTGATGCCGCACGAGACGTTCAACGTCCAAAGGTTGGCAACACGGGTGGCGTGGATGCTGCCGGAAACACACGACTGGCGGGGTAGATGCTATCGTTTTAAGCGTTCCAAGCTAGGTGAGAGTAGCAGGTACGAATTTCGTGGAAAGAATGACTCCGAGTATAACGTATCCCCAGCTAGGAAGGGCATTTACCCATATATAATACAGTTCTTGTACAAAACCAGAGAATAGTAGCTACTAAAATTGTTTAAGTCTGGAAAGCAGTGGAGAACCGAGTCACAAACTCTGGAGGAGAACTAGAGCAAGAACAATCCCTTTTCCAACTTAAGTTGTTGGGGAAAAGAAAATGGAGAATGAGCTTGGAAGGCTCAGACCCCTTCCTACTACCCCTTGGGGTGCAGCCATCTTCCCCATGGCAAGGAGGGGTGCACCTCCATGGGCTTTGCCCATGTGGCAATGGTTGGGGTTTCCAACCAATTAGATTTTAGACAGCAAGGATAACAATGCATACTTATCACAAACCTGTGTTGTTGTTATTGGTTGCAATTGCAGTGAGCGGCGGAAATGATGTCGACACACTTTGGATATGTGTATTTTGATTGGTTGAATCAAGTTGGGTTGAATCTACGTGGGTTGTTTATGGTTTGGTTGGAAACCAACCATTTCAATCCAATCATGTAGGTTCCATTCAACATTTATACATAGTTGTTTTTTATTGGTTGGCTTTCCAATCAATCCCCAAACTCCAACCAATCTCGTTTCCATTCAAATCTCAACCAATCATGTTTCCCCCTGTTTCCCCCTCACAGCTGGTTCGATGTATCGAGACCAGGGGGGTTGGGTAGGGATGCTACACTCCTCCCCCTCCAGTTGGCAACGTCCTCGTTGCCGTGGGGTGCTTCTTAGGACGAGTGCTGCGAGCACGACCAGGGTCAACACCATCCGCTGGCTGTGGAAGTGCTCGCTGAGCCAGGTCTTCCATGTAAGACTGAACCGCAGTGTCAGTCAAATGTTCTTTCTACTCCCAAGAGTTGTGTTCAGGCCCATAGCCTTTCCACTTAATGAGGAACTCTCGTACAGTTTTGCGGCCGTGTTGTCGATCACGATGCAAAAGCACTCGTTCGACTTCATAGTATAGTTCCTCCCCTAGGCCGATTGTTGGTGGCAGTAAGTACTTGCCTTCTGCAACGTACTTGCTTAACAGAGACACATGGAAGACATTGTGAATCTGAAGGGTATCAGGTAACTTGAGTTTATAAGCTACCACACCAACTCGTTGAACCACCTCGAAGGGCCCAATCCAGCGAGGGAACAACTTTCTCGCACCAGGGATCTTAAGCCGAATATTCTTCGTGCTTAACAAAAATTTGTCTCCAACGGAGTATGAGACTTCCCGGCGTTTCATATCGGTATAGGATTTTTGTCTTTGCTGGGCTAACTGGAGCCAACGACATGCCGACTGCAGGGCCTCTTGTTTCTTGCCCACAAAATCCTTTGCGGCAGGTAATTTTAAACCACCGATCTTCCTAGCAGGTGTTGTGGGATGCCGACCAGAGTTCAGGATAAATGGTTTTTCATTTGTGCTGTCATGCACCGAGTTGTTAACCGTGAACTCGACCATGGGTAACAACTCATCCCAATTGTCATGTGTTGGGCTTATGAAAGAACGAAGCATTTGTTCGAGAGTGCGGTTAGTTCGTTCCTATTGCCCATCCGTCTGGGGATGGAACGCTGACGACATCTTAAGCTTCGTTCCTAGTGTCTGGGTTACTTCACGCCAGATTCGGCTCGTGAAGCGCGGGACACGATCAGACACTAATATGTCAGAATGTTATAATTGTCTAGCCTGCAGTGGGGTACTCCATAGTGAGTACAGCCCAATTAGGGTTTGCTATATGTGTCCAACTGCTTGCTAGTGAACATCCTCCTTTCTTCATTCTTTCTTCCTACTACTACTTCTGACATGCTATCAGAGCAGGTCGATCCCCTTGGGTCGACCCTGTGGGTGGGCCCACCACCTCACTGCTTCCGCTGCTACTGCTACTCTGTGTGTTGCACGCCCCGTGGCGTGCGACGGATTTTTCATCCCGCCGCGCGCTCGGAGCGTGCGGCGGTTTTCTGCCCGCCGTGCGCCCCGAGGCGCGCGGCGGTTTTCTGCCCGCCGTGCGCCCCGAGGCGCGCGGCGGCTTTCTGCCCCGTCACTCCGCGCGTCGCTCCCGGGAGGCGCTGCGACGGGCGACGGGGACCCGCGCGTCGCCCCCCGTCGCCCGTCGCGGCCTGCGCGACCTGCGTAGGGCCCGCGCGCGGCCCGTACAGCCTGCGCGCGGCCCGTACGGGCTGCGCCAGGCCCGCGCGCGGCCTGTACGGGCTGCGCCAGGCCCGCGCGCGGCCCGTACGGGCAGCGCCAGGCCCGCGCGCGGCCCGTACGGGCTGCGCCAGGCCAGCGCGCGCCTCGGGCCGCCCGCACGCGGTTCGTACGGGCTGCGCCAGGCCCGTGGGCGCCCTGTTTCCTCTTCCCCTGCGCTGCCCGCTGTCCCCCGTGCTTCTGACGGCGCCCCACCCCTGCTGCTGCCCGTTCTCCTGAATTAGGGTTTGGGGGTGGGGGGTATGGGGGTGCAGTTTCTGTGCGTCGTCCCCTGCTCCTCCTCCTCCTCCGTCTCCCAGTGCTGCAGCTGCCGCTGAGGGGGGTGGGTGTGTGGGAGCCGAAGGAGTGGTACTAGGGGGGTGACGTGCAAGTGGAGTTAGGAGTGAAGCAGTGGGTGTGTGGGGGGTGTGTGGGACAGTTGGAGGAGGTTGAGCGGAGGCTGCTGTCTTGTCGTCCGCAGCACCTGTAGTCCGGGGCGCACTGTCCTGGTAGCCCAGAGAGTCTGCTGCGCCTGTCGCCCGAGGGTCCGTTGCTCCTGTAGCTCGTCGTAGCCCGTGAGCCAGTTACTCCAGTAGTCCGGGGCGCACTGTCCCGGTAGCCACTGTGCCAGCAGCTCCTGTTGCCCGTGTGTCTGCAGCTTCAGCCGCCGTCTCTCATCTTCTCTCCTCTCACAGTCCCTCCTCCTCCTCACTTGCCCGCTGTGATTACCTCTAGCTTTGCTTATAATTGTGAACTATTACTATGCTTGCTTGTTGTGCTGATTACACCCCACTTTGGCTATGGGGGTGTGTCAGAATGTTATAATTGCCTAGCCTGCAGTGGGGTACTCCATAGTGAGTACAGCCCAATTAGGGTTTGCTATATGTGTCCAACTGCTTGCTAGTGAACATCCTCCTTTCTTCATTCTTACTTTCTACTGCTACATTCTAACATAATACACGTGGCAATCCGTGTAGGCGGAACACATATGTCACGAACAACCGAGCCGTATCCTCTGCTGATACCTCCGTTGTCGTGGGTACAAAGTGCACCATTTTCGTAAGGTGATCCAAAAATACGAGTCTCACCGTATACTTATCACGGGTTCTTGGGAGGTCGGTGATGAAATACAGTAAAACACTTTCCCAAGGTTCACTCGGAATTTCAAGTGGTTGAAGCAAACCACCAGGCTTCTGTGTGTCCGGTTTGTTACGTGCGCACGTGTCACAACGTGCCACAAACTGTTGGACATCACTACCTACTCCTGGCCACCAATATACATCACGTAGGGCCCACCGGGTCTTATTCATGCCCAAGTGTTCCCCATATTTAGTGGCATGCACCTCTTCCAAAATATCGTTCCGCAGATTGCCTACATGAGATACCACAATCACTTTCGTTCGCCACCAGAGATCGTGTTCCCATGTCAACTGTTTGGTGATTTGTGGGTTATGGAACCAGGAATCGATATGATATCCTGTACGAATTCGTTTCAGAAAACCATTGAACGCGATCTCGCTCACTTTTACCGTAGCTAGTATGCTAAATCAGGCAGCAAAAACAGCCACATGTTTGGTATCATCAAGCCCGGTTGCCGCCCCTATCGGCTGTCTGCTGAGGGGGTCGGCTAGGTTCGTGGAACCTGCACGATAACGAATGTCGAAGCTGAACCCACTGAGGAGTTCAGCCGAACGGGCCTGACGGCGAGTGAGGGTAGCCTGGGTAGAGAAGTATGTGTTCGGACAATGGTCAGTAGTGACCAAGAACTCTACCCCTTCCAAATAGCATCGCCATGTTCTTAGCGCATGCACGACAGCCAACAACTCTTGTTCGGTAGTCGTGTAGCGTTGCTCTGGCGGGGAGAGTTTTCTACTCTCAAATGCCACAGGGCGTCCTTCTTGCAGAAGTACTGCTCCTAGTCCCACCGTTGAGGCATCTGTAACCACATCATATGGTTTCTATGGGTTAGGCAACACCAAAACTGGTGTGTTAGTTAATTTATGCTTGACCTCTTCAAATACCTTTTGGCACTGTGGAGTCCACTCCCATGCACACCCTTTCCGGGTCAATGCCGTGAGGGGAGCGACTATCGTGGAATGGGCAAATGCCCTTCCTAGCTGGAGATACGTTATATTGT